ACTCACCATATACTACTCAGTTTTCACAGTTGCAGAGGATACCATAGTCTGCTCTGCATGTTGGGTCTGACTGTCATTAACCTGGTTCTTCATATAAATAGGCTTCTTGCCTGCCTACTTATATTATTTACTTCCAAAAATAGTACACTTTTAGTAAAGGATATTATTATTTTGGAAGTGGCAACTGTATTTATATTATCTACAGAAGAATTTATTGAAAAAGTGAACTATAGATAGTAGTTGAAGACATGAAGAGTATGTCATCTTGTATTGAAAGGATTTTAATATCATAGTATTTAATAATAAATTTTTCTGCTTCTAGAAAGTACTTTAGATCATAGTTGAGTTAAATTTGTAAGATGGAGAATTTTGGTTAACTTTGCATATAAAAATAAAGAATTATTCATGCTAGAATATGTGAACTAATAGTAGGTGTAATAATTTTTTCTAAAGCTTTATTTAGTTCAAGTTCTAAAATACTGTCATTTTTAGCTGCAATATTTAGATAAGCTTTAAGATAAGAATAAAGATAGAATGCAGTTTGTTTAGGATTGGTTTTTGAATTGTTAATTTCAGTAAACTTTTGATCTGCTTTGAGTATAAGTTTATTGAGTGTATGAAGTAGAATAGTCTTTTTGAAAGTTGCTGTATATTGTTGGTTTGGTTGAAAGATTGTGTAGTCTGGAGTGAATGGTGTAGTTTTAGAAGTTGAGTTGTTTTTTGGAGACACTAAAAAGGTTTCAAAAGATTTGTCAAAGAAAAGAGTTAATATATTTTTGAAAATATGGTTTGTGTCATCAGGTAGAAGCTTGCAGTCTTTATTTTTGCTTGTATGAACATGAAAAAGTGCAGCTTTAGTAGTTAAAAAGGAGCAATTTTAAAAATAGGTTAGTTCTGTAATTTGAAAATCTGAAGATAGGAGTTTTTTGCATTTTTTAGCAAGTGTAGTTGCAATTTGGTATTTAATATAGTTTTTGGTTTTATCTTTATTGATTTCTGTAAATTGTTTTTGGTAAGCTTTAAAAAAGTCTAAATACTATGTGTTGAAGTTTTGGATATAAGGTTTAAGTAATAGAATTTGAAAGAAATTAAAAAATTTAGTTTTAGAATATTAAGAGTAACAGTAATAGGAAACTAGTTGTTATTATAAATACTAAATAGGGGTTTTGCAGCATCATATTCAAAGTTGTATTTCATTGATAATCTAAAAGAATAAAGCTCTAGTTTATCAATAAATTTTTGATAGTAAATTGTTTAGTATTGATTATAAAGAAATAAGTATAGATAGGCAAAGTTAATTGCCATTTTACAATGATCAGAGATTGGATATAATAGAATTAAATAATAAGAATAAAAAATGTATAAGTAGTTTAGTTTAATAAAAAAAGTTCAGTAAATTTAATAAGTAAATTTTTAAATATTAAGTATATGCATATTGTAGAATATTAAATTGATAAGAAAATAATAAATTTGATTAATGAAGAAAATTTGTAAGGAATTCTGGCTTTTTAGTAACTCTTATTTTAAGCAAATAATTAAAACTTTGTTTTTAAGAAGGTTTTTGGTTTGTGGTTTTTTGAGTATTATTTGAAGTAGAAGAAATTGGTTGATCAGAAGTAAATTTGTAAAGGTGAGCTTTTGAGAAGATAAAAAGTTGTTGAGCAAGTGTTGAATTAAGTTTAGTATTTTTTTTATGTTTTCTGTAATCAGATAGTTAAGAAACTAGTCCAAATCTTTAGAAGTGTCTTGAGTTGAGTTTGTTGAATTTTTTTATTGTTGTTGCTTAGAAGAATGTTTAGAGTTTAATTTATTTCTTGTTTCTAAAAGCAAGCTTTTGGAGAAAATTGATTTTTCTTTTTTAATAAGTTTGTAAAAGTAGTAAAAATGAAAAATAGAGCATTGTTTTTTTGTAAGTTTCTTTTTTTAAAGAAGGATTTTAAGTTTAGTATATTAGAAATTGTAAATACAATCTCAATGGAATAAAAAACTCTTAAAGATTATAGCTTTGGAATAGTCAGATACATGTTGTAATTCTTGAATAAAAATATATAAAATATGCTTTTTTTGCATAAAGTACAAAAGTAATAATCTTGTAAGTATAGAATGATTGCTATTAGTAATTTGTCTATACGAAATAAAAAAGATAAAATCTGTGCGTTTGATTGAAGATTTTGTTGTTGTTTGATAATAGGTGATTTAGGTAATTGGTCAACAATATTGTTAAAGCTGTTTTTGGAAATGACTGTAGTTGGAGAAATATAGGTTGAATTGGCATTTTAAAGTAGTATTGTTGTTTATTAACTTTGTATTTTAAAGAGTTAACATCTTTCAGCAAAATGCATAAGATAAGTAAATCAGATTCTTTGGTACTAATACTAAATCAATCTGGATATTTGTTGTTATAATAGTTTAAGTCATAAGAATCAGATTCAGTAGTTGTTAAAATAGGCATTTTAGTTTGTTATTTTTATGTTAATTTATGATTTGCTATAAATTGATAGTAGTTACACTAATTAAGTGTGATGGAAGCTCATTATATAAATAATTAAATAGACAATTTTTCACTTTAAATAAAAATTATACACCCTAATGCATGACATATAAAATTATTATAATCTGATCATCCCATAGTAAGATTATCTAACTTCAAAATTTGATAATTTGTTCTAACAACCAATTTGATATTAAATTTGGCAGGCAGCTTTATTCAGGTTATTGTAACTATAAATGTTTAGTGCAATTTCAAATACTAAACAAGCTAATAAATCTTTTTTTATTTAATTTTTGCAAATTTTACAATTCCTATTATGATTTTAAGCTTTTTACAACTATTTTAGTATGCTATAATTATCTTTTAACTCAATTCTAAGTAAAACTTTATTACTGTATTTTATAGTTATTGTTATTGAATATTGGCTAAGTATTGCTTATCTCTTATTGATCTTTGTAGCTATATTTTTTTTTGTGTCATCTGCTCCTTAAACTCTGCTAAATAAGTACTTATCCAATTTTTGATAATGGTCACACTTGGTATATCCTCCTTTTCCACCTCTCCAGATATTGCAAATTCTTGAAGAAAGTTATACATTTCTTGTGCAATTAATTTATTATAAGGATTAATATTCCCATTCAAAAAACATACTGATTAATAATTGTTTGACATTTGTCTTTATATGCTTACCACCACTTTTTTACTATATTTTTGATTCTTTTTTAGTGCCCAACCTTTTTCAAAGCTGTATATTTGATCAATATCTATTAACTTATCATCTAGATAAGTAAGGCATATTTGAAAATTATTTGTTAGTAAATTATCTGATATAATAATTAAGTGCTATAGAGCAAAAAGCTGGAAGTAAATATTTAAGTTTTCATCATAATAAGTTTATCTTCTAATGAATTCTAATAAATTTTGATGTTGTCTTAAATAATTATTTTTTAATCAGACAAGATGTTATTACATCATATATGTAGAGTTGGAACAGGTTCAAAAATAACTACCCAATTGTTTAGTAAAGATCATAATTTCACATATACAGTATGTATTGTTTAGAATATATGTAATGTCACAATTTTTCAGAGGCTAAACTCACCATAGTGAAAACTTGAATATTTACTTCCAGCTTTTTACTCTGCAGCACTTAACTATATAATGATTTTTAAAATTCTTACTTGATTCATTAGAACTTTTTGATACCAGACAAGGTGATATGCCAACTGTACCTATATTATATAATGTCATTAATTTTATAATACATTGTATTCTTAATAGTTGTGCTGTGTATATTGTAGGCAAATAATTTTCTAATAGCCTCTATCATTTACTACTACATATGATACTTGAGTCTTATTTAAGAAACCCATATTTAAAATTAATAATATTCACAGGTTCAGTAACTTTATAGTAGAAATATTGAATATAGTATATTTTAACCTTGATATAATGAAGCACTGGAGCTAAGGTGTTTGGTTTGATATATCAAAGTTTTGATATATTAAGGTACCTTACTATAATGAATATATAATTTTAGCTAAAAAACTTCATCATTATATCAAGGTTATACTATAGCAAACCTCTATAAATACATGCTCTTAGGCCAAATTTTACAAATTTTACAAATATGCACTTAAAGAGCAATAAGAAAAAGTGTGTTTATAGAGGCCATGTATATATTTAGTCCAGAATTTAGATTTAGAGCAGGCATGCACTTATAGAGGGTGTGCTTAGAGAGATTTTACTGTATTGTGATAATATTATATATAGTAGTAAATAGTATATAATTTCTGCTAATAATTAGTTCTATAAATTACAATTTAGATATTATATGAGTAACAAGAAAGAAAATCTGTAAAGCTAACTTAAACTTTTATTTTACAGAATTAGCATCTAAAAGATCTATTTTCAGATCTAAGATTATAACTATGCAACACACATTAGACTTTGCAAAGTAATGTTTTTTATTTTGCATAACCTGTAATCTGTAAATTAGATAAGTTGATCAGATTTTTTTTTTGTCAAATAATTCTGAAAATTAAGGTCTCCATTAGATGACATCAGATAAAATAATAGAAACAATAAAATTTTTTTTTGAAAAATTGAAATAATGGGTTAATCAGGTTATAAAAAACAAAAAAATCAACTTTGTATAGCCTTATTGAAATAACTAGAGTAACAGGTTGTATATTCGATTACAAGTTATAATTGTCTAATAACTAGTAAAGTAAAAGTTGTATTTTGATCTATGTTTTTTATTTTATCATTTATATAAAAGCATATCTCTAATTTCTGATAATTAAAATTAATATTTATATTTACTTGATTAAGCTATCTTCTATTTATTTTTAGGCATAATAGAGCTTGATAATATTAATTCAGACCTAAAGATTTTATTATTGCAAAGATTTGCTATTATAGTTGGTGAAAAGTAGATGAAATCACCAAAATTTGGCATTGGTCATGCTTGTATATAACCTGCAAATAAGCTATCAATTGGCCATTCTCAATAAAAAAGATTAGAAATTCCTGGAATAGTATTAATATTAACTTTTTTTTCATTGTTAATTTTTTCAGAATCATTGTCTAATTGATTTACTTCTTTTTTAGTTCTATTAGGTTGAATATTTGAAAGATAAGTTCCTGATAATTCTTTTGCAGCATCTATGATATCTGACTTTTCTGAAATATTGTACCCTATTCTCACATAATATTTTATAGCATGGGAAATCTATTGTAGAAAAAAAAATAGTAGGTTTATATTATAAAATAGTAGATAATAATATTCTAGACAAATATGAGGTACTATGGACTATTAAATAATTTATTTGTGCTGCACAAATAAATCATTTGATAACCCATAGTACCCTTCTGTAAATAATATTACTCTGGTTATATTGATAAGAAACTGTATGATATATTCAAATATTATTGTATCTCATATTAAGGATATAGGTTTGAATTTTTAAAAAGGTTAGATGTTATATCTGTTTAACCAAAATAATATGTATCAAATGCATATAGTTCAAAGTAAAGTATCCAGAGTACTGTGGTGGCAGAATTTGCACAGAATAAAATTATTAATGAATATAGCTATTGTAATAAAATTGAAATTTTTTTGAAATTTCTTTTCATTGTAATTTTGTTTTTTAAGTATTATTTATATATCACCATAGAATTTGCTAATTTAACAATAAGTATAGCAGAATTATTTAGTTAGAGCAGCAGTACTCTGGACACTTCAAAGTAATAATCATACTGATCAAGATTTTTAATATACTAACAGCTGCGTGATGTGAATCAATAGTAGTTTTGGCTTTGCCTGGTTCTAAAAATAATCATCCTTGAACTTCTATTTGATACCACTTATATTAGTATGCAACAATTATCATAATCTTACTACTATGATAGTGAGCACCATTATCAGATATAATATGAATCTACTTAGGCTTTTTTTCTATTAAAGTAAAAACTGCTTTGAAACATGATACTGTAAACTAGGTATTTTGTTTTGTATCAGTTAACCAATGATCATATACACTGATCTTTAAATTTTCTTTATTTTCATCTAGAGTAAAAACTAAAATAGTATAGAGGGTTCATTCACATTTTCCAAAAAATTGTTGTTTAGTTTCTTGTGCTAACTTTGGCAATATTTGACTTATAATCAGCTATAATCACAGCACTATCTTTATTAATACTTTTTAATATTGGCTTAATCTAGGCATTTAAATATGCTTTCCTTGTCTGATGAGCCCAATAATATTGTAATTTCACTTGGTATTGATCTAATTGCTCATGTTTAGTTTTAAGTTCATTTTTAAGGATTTGAATAACTAAAAAAATAAATCACATTTTTCACAACATTTTTCATATATATAATCACATGATTCATAAGCATAGGGTAAGCAATGATAATACAATTACAGCCACACCTCCTAAGTGCAAGTACTATGTAAAACCTCTCTAAATGCAAGTTATGGGTTGGCCCTAACTTATAAGAACTTTATATATTTTATTCTCTATAAGTGCAAACCTCTAAGTGCAAAATTTTGATTTTTTTCACTATAGTCCCAACAGCATGCACTTTGGGAGGTGTGACTATATTATAAAATATTGTTCTATCATTATTAATTACTAATTCTCACTCAAATTCCCATTTTAAGTGTCTTTTTAAATTATTCATATGTACTAAAAATGGATTCTAATATACAAATATATAATTAAGTTTTTTTTTTTTACAAAGTTTTTTTTAAATTTTGAATACATACTAATTTTTCTTGTAATTTTATATTACTTTTGACTATAGCAGTTAAATCTTCGAAGACTTCAAATCCATATTGGCTACATATTTGGCAAAGTTCTTCAAGGTCTTCATGATATTTAATATAAGATGCAATTGCTAATCTTCCCATAAACAATATTTTTTTTATTTTATTAGAGTATAAGGATTCAAATTTAGACCACAATGCTTTTTTTTGATCTTGAAGATAAAGAATTAGAAGTCCACTCACTTTGTCTACTTGGTATAAACTCATAGTTATATTACATTTATCTGCAAAAAATAATTGAATTCTTTTTCTTTTATATCTGATATTTTTTTTGACTATTTTTTTGGGTACATTAATTGAGACACCTCTAGGCCCATATAACTATGCATGTTTTAGAGCTACATAAATCATATTAGGTCCAATCTAATAAAAAATAAAATAAATCTTTAAAAATTTAAAGGAAAATTCTAATTTTACACATAATATATATATATAGGTATATTGATTGATTCACAAATCTGTATTATATGCCAATTAAAATTTTAACAAATGAATGAGTAGTTGGGGATTATAGTTATTAGGTGAAACTATGTGATGCCAACATATAAATACTATTTGTAGCTTTACAATAATTAGCATCAAATAGTTTTGCCTAACAACTATAGTTTATACAAAAATTTTACAAAGAGTTTTTATTGTTAGAAGCCAAAAGGTGGTTTCATAATCAAAATTTTGAGATATTAGTTGGTGTGTTATATACTTGTGTATATTTTTTTTTTTTTTTTTTTTTTATTTCTTTGGCAACAATGCCAGTTTTTTTATTAGCTTTAATTTTTGATATAGTACAAATTTTATAGTTACATTTTAGAATCAATTATTACTAGTACTATATACTATCTAATTTTACACTATTGACTTCATCTGGTTACT